GGAATACTAAATTTGCAGTTGCTAGTGAGTAAGATCCATTGAATGCAGAGGGATGTGTTTCTGAGTAAACAAGTGTAGGTTTGTATGGTTATAGCATTCATTTGAGAAGCAAAACAATTTGGTAGAGTTTTTTACATTGGTGCTCATTGTTTCTACATACAATTTTCTGTCTAAAAGATAATGGTTGACCTTTCCCATAAAAAGCAACCTTGATTATATCAGGAGGTGGGCCATATTAGTTTCTTTCAAGTGTCTTGTGGCATCATAACTCTAACCAGCTTTATTTGGCATAAGCTTTTATGGCCTGCAGCCTGCCTTTTTTGGATGCATGAATCCTTCAGTGCAATCTGGAGAGTGGGCAGAACAGGCCCTCTGCCCTTTACAAGGAACTTTTGCCATTTCTTGAGCTCCAGTACTAAGCCAACAGGCAGAAACTCAGCAGATGGTGTCTCACTTACTATTTGGAGAACCCTTTACTATTGTGTATTATATTCCAGTACAGCTGGGAAGGGGCTGTGCTGAGGAAGGCTCTTGTGCACCAAGAACTTATAACATTGTGTGATAATTTTTTTAAAAAGGAAATCTTTTCCCCATCAATGTGATACAAATGGCTCCTCAGTATCAGGAGTGGGTTTGTTCAGGAGATGCTGTCACTCTCATAATGAGGTAACGTCCACAGTTTCACAAGGCATAAGAAGAAAGAAGTGTTTGCCAAAGTCTGAGAAGCTCCTCTGTTTTGTTTGCTTTCTATTCTGCAGTACTAAAGACCCCATATTTCACAGCTGGCATGATCTCCATTTTTTTTTTACCCTTAGCCTTATTCACTTGGTGTGGCAAGATTTTATTTATATAGTGATTGCTTCATTCCTTTTCTGCCATGGGTTAGCATATGACCACAAAATAGTGTGACTGTTAAAAGGAACAGATGTTGTGCAGGATCATTTGTGTATTCAAACAGTGATTGAAAACAACTGTTGCTTCTACATAAATTCTAATTGGAATTGCATGTTTCTATAGTTTTGTAGCAGTATCTAACTGGCTGGATAGCTCAGAGAGCTGAGTGCCTAGCTGAGAAGCCAGAAGCTGGGACTCTGACCTCTCCCCCCCCCTCCCGGTGCATCCCAGGAGAAGAGCCACCCTGTGTTCCCTTGAGCAAGCTGCACAGTCCTAGAGCACTTCCCGAAGAAGGGAATGGTAAACAACTTCTGAGTACCCTCTCCTAAAAGAACACTGTCAAGGATCATCATAAGTTGGAATCAACTTGATGGCATGCAGTTATTATTATTAAAGATGGCGAGGGGGAGAGATTTAGTGGCCAGAATCTTATTGGTTTTGTGTAATTGACAAAGCATGGTGGTTGCATACCTGCTCATGAGCCTGACTGTGCAATGGAGATAACTGAGATCGGTTAGGCAAACTTTATAGGAACACCAATAGGATTCTGAAAAATATCTGTAAATTAGTGTTTAAAGTAGGCAGATTGTGGAGCTATATCAGTGGAAGTGTTGTGATTGACAGTGCTTGGCTACTAGCCAGACAGTCTATGTGTATTGTTTGCTGTTTAGAACAGAATGTTCACAAAGGTATTTACATCATGCAAGGTAAAATTGTTTACAAGCCTAAATGTGAACAGGTTTTTTGCATGCATATATCTTCTACCTTGGGACAAAAAAATGTATTATTTCACCCTTTCCCAAGAGCTGACTCCCTTGACCTTGGGAATGGGTTAAAGAGCAGCTCCATTTAGACCACACTGGAGAACCATATCACTTGCCAAGTCAGGGTACTTGGTTGGTAGCTAGAATTTTCATCCAAAGAGGTTTGCTTGGGTGCTGTTCCTCTCTCTCTCTCTCTCTCTAAAGTCAGTGGCAGTTATGCTTTGCTTGGCTGCTGTGCTGCAGCAAAGACAAATTCATTTTGGAAGCACATGCCTCAGACCAAATTAAGAACCTGAAAGGATAACAATGTCTATTTCCAAAGGCCAGGACTGCTTCTGACACACAGCTTTTCCCATGCCTTTCCAGGTTAAATTGCAACATTTATAGAAGGCGAATTTTATCAGAATTTACTTAGATCTGATCTTACTATAAACATGGGAGTGAAGGAAGGAAGATGGATCAACACCAATGGTGCAGATCCCAATATAGCTGTGGCAAATATAAATAAACAGCCAGGAAAGACAGGAAATTTTGCACATTGCCTGGCCAAAATGCATAGACTCTGGGTAATGGTAGAGTATGCAGATTCATCCAGAGTATTTCATACTGTTATATTAAGTATGTTGATCCTCCTGCACATTCTCCAGCATTACTTCAAGCTTTTGGCTACACAATCCTCAGCAATTATTATTGTCCATCCCTGCCAAGTCATTATTTGAGCCAATGTTTGTACACGTGCTCCAGTCAGCCATTAATTTGTGTGTGTAAATGTATGTGCATGAGAGAGAAGGAAGAGACAAGGTATTTATGCTTGTTTTATATCTGGAACTGACTGATCTTTGGCTTTGCCACTTGAAAACATGGGGGGGGCAGGGAGAAGTTTTTTTTCTATAGACACATATGAATAGGTACTTGTGCTGATTCTCTGCACACTGCTGTACTTGCGATACTTTGTGTTTTACAATTCTTACATTTATTGCTGAGATTTGGCTTGTGGGTGAGTAATTAATGGTATCAAATAAATCTGAACAGGAATGGGTGGTGATTATTTCCGGGGGAAACTGGGAACATCTGTAATGATGCTGGTTTCTTCAACAGAGGAAAGACATAAAACAAAACAATAGCTCTCTTGGGCTGGATGCATCAAACCATCTGGAAGCTAATGCCACATTCTCAACATTCATTGCAAATGTGTAGAATGTTAGCTTTGTCTGAGAGGCCAATGTACCATCAAACCAAAGCAGAAACAAACAAACAAACAAACAAAACACAGTAATGGTTGTTGTGGGTTTTTCGGGCTCTTTGGCCGTGTTCTGAAGGTTGTTCTTCCTAACGTTTCGCCAGTCTCTGTGGCCGGCATCTTCAGAGGACAGCACTCTGAAGCACAGTACATTATGTAGAGAACCTTGCCCAAAGACTGGAGGGATGTTTTGTCAGAGGAGGAGGAGGAAGAGGAGAGATAGAAACATAGTGTAGAGAGATAGAAAGATAGTGTAGTGTAGTGCATGATCACCATGAAAGTTGCAGAATTTCTGTTTTCCTGGGCAGCAGCTTTTCCCCACCTCTCTTCTGCTTTGCACAAAAGCTAAAATGGCTGCTCCATATTCACCTATATGTACAGCTCCAGCTGTGGAAGCTGCCATGGCAATCTCACAAGGTGCCAGTCATATGCACCCAGATATACTATTGACACTTCATCAGGTCACTGTGGCAGCTTTCACAGCTAGAACTCTGAGGAAGTGTAAACTTTGAACAGTGTATTGGTCCATCATTATAGAAGGTCACCATTTACCATTTGAACCCCATCCTAACTTGTGCCCTGCCACCTTGATCATCGAAATCAGGCTACCCCAGTTCTTTGAATAAATACTTGTGTAGCAAACTAACCAAAAAGTTCCACATTAGATTTAGCATAGCCTCTGTGTCTTTTATTTATACCAAAACTCGGTGCAGGCCAGAGAGTACTACTACCTAAATTAGTAGAAGTAAATAAACTGACATGGGAAGCAAGATGCTACAACTCTGGATAATAGTGATATTTTCACCTTCTCTTTATTTCTTGTTTGGGGAGATCTCCTAAATGTTTTTGCGAATTATGCTGGCTGTTTTCAGAAGATCATCTCCACTGCCACCATCACCACACTGACATTTAAGGAAGAATGTAGTTGTAGTAAACTCATAGAAAACAACTTCCCAAAACAGTTTCTAGCTCATTGCTCTCAATGGTGCTTTGTGTTTACTTGAAAAGCGTCCTTAAAAATAGCTCCCATTCCAAACAGCAGTGGCTGTTCCGTAAGAGTTTATAGCTGAGTCACAGCAGTTACCAGAACAGCTATTTCCATCTCTTGTACTTGAAGCCAGCTGGCAAAACTTTGGAAAAGCCAGCCTGAAAATGTTCTTTTACATTGCTTCACACTCGTTTCCAGCTTATGCCTTTTTACAATACTCTATTGAGAATCCCAAATGCTCTTGGGATAATACTGATTGACAAATGGCTCATGGAGCAAGCACTCCCGTTACCTCCTAGAAATAAGAATGCAAATTATAAGTTTAAAATTACTACTCTTTTGGCTTTTTCTTTCTTACTTTTTTTTTTGTCTCATACATTTACATCTATAAAAATTGTTGTCCCATTTTCAACTTTTCCCCAAATGTACCAAGGACTGAATGATTTGTTTTATATTTTTCAAAACAATTTTTAAGAGTGACTGTCTCTTCTCTCAGTTCATCAGTGTTTTTCAGAAGTATTCTTTTCAGGAAAGAGGTATAACCTCTTTTGTCTTCACCAAAAGGCTAATCTTTGGTTGATTAGTTTTTGGCTCAAGATCCAGGATATAGAATTCAACCAATTACTATTACTTCACTTCAGAGAACAGTGCTGGAATTCAGAAAATTTAAGGGATTCTGGGTTGCAATAAAATTGCCCAAGAGTAGGCAGAATGGCCGTGGTTTTCAGCTTCTGTCAGCATTCCTACTCTTTGTGTGCAGATTTGTTTCTCTTTATGGGGGCCATAAATGTGAATTTGTATACTTAGGAAAAGAGTAATTAAGGGAAAGATTAACTTTCTCAAGGTTAAAGAAGGTCAAATTTGTGGATATGACTTTTAAATGTTTTTTTATGGAAAGTTCTCATGAGAATGACAGGACAATTAATTCTTGTGGTGGCATTTGAATTAAGATTTTGCAAGGATTTAATACAAATATACACAGGTTGCTAAAAGTTTACGGGGGTATGGGATTAAAGTCAAAGAGAAGTTTGTGATGAAAAATGTAAATATAGGAAATGTGCCAATCAAGCATATAGTTGTAACATGCAATGTATATGTCTTCTTCTGTTTTTAGGAGTTTATGGGCAATTGCAAACTTTCTGTTCCCCCCATTTCACTGACAATCAGCAAAACATACAACATGTTGGAACTTGTAATATGGTCCCTCCTTTTGAAGACTGTCTTGTTCCTACATCTATCGGGCAGGCAGGTTTTGATGTTTTCCACAGAGCATTTTCAGCACATTCTGGTATTACAGGTAAACACCTATTGTGGCCTTATAAATCTTTTTGAAATCATGGTTTTGTGACTTCTTCTTAGAATGAATAGTTTAATCAATTCATTAAAAACACTTCCAGTTTATGAATGTGGGATATTGTGTTTCTCTGATCTATGATTCAAAATGCTAGAAAATGGCCCTACATTGCTGCACAATATCATGCCCATTTTGCCAGCAGGAAAAAGGATGCCAAGCTTTACATAGCAAAAGGCAACCTGAATGTTGACAGCACCAATGGCAGCAGTCAAGAAGGTTTACAGAATACCCTCTTGTGCTCACTACCACTCACAAAGAGACATCAAGAAAAGGAAAATCCCAGAAGTGGAGTCCTTTTTTCATCCATTAACCACTTCTTGCCCAAACACAAAGCAATTGTCACAGCTGTTTTTTGACAAGTATGAATGGATTTATTTCTAGATTGTCCCGGAACGGGAGCTGATTTCCCCTTTGAAAACTTGTTCTCAGAAACCTTGAGAAAATTTTACTGAAAGCGCTGCGACAAACACAACTGCTCTGTGCTTTTGTAATGCAAAAATACTTTCAATATGCCTTAAAAATTACATGCAAATTCCCTGGAGCTGCATGGCAAAATGTCCCCTTTTCTGGAGGACTGTCAATTACTTTCTGTAAAGCAAACTAGTTTTTTTTACTCTGTTCATAATAGCTGTGAACATCTGTTGACCTGCATTTCTCCCTGACCCATACAATACCTTGTATCACCAACCTTGCAAGCCTGTACTAATCATGCTCAGTTTATAACAAAGTCACTGTTTTTCCCATTTGAAAGTCCTCTTTTGAGGATCAGTATTTCAGGCCCTGCAGCCTGGATTCTTTCCAGTTTTTTTTTTAAGTGAGTAAGGCCCACTATTTTCTTTCAAGATAATCAAAAGTGGCCTTTTCAATTTAGGGTCACCTATTTCTGAACTGGAGGGACAGTTTACTTTTAAAAAATAACAATTTGAAAACTTTGTCCAAATCTCCCCAAAGTAGGAACAGAGCTAGAACAACTATGCTACAACTATGCTGATGTTGGTGCTAATTTAAAGTCCAGTTTCCAAGTTAAACATTTTTGCTTGGGATGCCCCATTTTTAGAATTGTAGAACGTTGATTTGCTCTGCTACACAATAACAGAACTTGAATATTGTGCATCTATAATGCATCCAAAGTTTTGTTGTTTTCTACCCCATTACACAAGGCTTATATTGTAATGAGAAACATGATAGACCGAGGATGGAAAACTTTGCCTGGGGAACAGATTTTATCTGGAGATCAGTTTTAAGAATCCCATCTCACTATATCAAAACTCAGTTGCACGCTGCCCACTGGGGTGAGGGGACACGTCATGTATTTTTTAAAATGTACTTCTGTCCTGAACAAGGCATGCAGGAAGCATGAACCCTGTATCAAGGAAGACTCTTGTTTCCCAGAGATTTCTGGGAGTGTGATTCTTCTCTAAAATATATAGTATACATTTCTCATGTTACATATTTTAGCCTGAAAAAGTGGTTTATTTTGCTGCTGCATTGCCAAGATTGGCAGTGTAGTGCTGCAAAAATGGCCAGAAGAGCTGCCAGCTGCCTGTGGGCCCCATCTTGCCCCATTCTTACCATAGCGCCAATGGTAAAACATTGCCTGCATTCAACTCTGACCATATGTTCTGCATCAACTCTTCTGCACTGAATACATCTTGTGGAACATTGCTCAATTTCTAGTTTTTGGTCACAGCTTGCAACTTAATGTATCAGTCTCTGTGTGCACATAATGATAGCAACTGTGTTATTTTTTATACACCGGCCCTTGTAAGCTTGCATCTTTGCAGGGTTTAAAAAATTACTGATTACTGTACTTGTTTTAAAGAAAACTCCCATGTATGCGATAGTGGCCAGATTCATTTGTACAGAAAACAAGCAGAGTGTGGTCCTGATTAGGCATCCAGTGAAGCCAAATAAAAAACCATATTTCACAACAGCTGAGCATCTGTAATTTAGGAATGGTTCATATATCCATATTCATTGCTTGCTCAAATCTTGGTGTCTTGCCAGATGTACCCTGGACAAATCCAGTACTTCCAAATGTACAAACAGACAAATATGTTGGAAGTGACTGTGGCTGATGACAGAAATCTGTGGCCCTATACAGGCATTTTTAAAAAGTTAATCTGAGTGTGGAAGAAGGGAGAGAATGATGGCTCTACTCCACTCCACCTCCTCCCATTTCTCTCTTCACAGGGAGATATCTTAGATCCTCTCTACTGTAATAAAGAATCCTAATCTGACAGGGCCCCTCAGTCACATGATTTCTTCTTGAGATGTTGCTCTCCATGACCATGGAGTGAAGGACTCTCCCCCTCATTGCTTAGTTAGATCAATCTTTCTACAGTGCCTATTATGCCTATCCTTCTAAACCTACTTGGAAAGGGGACTTGTAAATATTATTAATAAAAAATAATGATTTAATTTTTAATTATCATACTTAACAATTCGCTCATCCATTCAAGCGATCAAAATACTTCCATGCATTATTGAGTTACAGTCTTCACAACCCTCTATGAAGAAAGTCTACATTGTTATCTCCTGTATTTCAGTCTGTGTGGAGGGGCTGAGGCTGAGAGAGGGAAAGGGAGAGCGAGGGAAGTGGAAAAGGCCAATGAGGAAATTCATGGCAGTGGTGAAATTCAGCTCCTTAGCCATTAAGCTTCACCAGAGCTCATGTATGATTTAGTAGTTTTTGGCACAATCTATGAGTGATCAACATGTATATATTAAATGGTACTATATCATCTCCAAACCCACAAATTCTTTTTAACTACAGTGGAATAAAGCTATTGCAGTTAAAGTGTCACAAACCTGATATTGATATTTACCAGTCCTCTTAAGAATTTAAGAAACTGGTAATTTTCAAACCCATATCGGAGGAGAAGCAACAGGTACAGAAAAGGTAAAACATCCTTTTGAAATCTCATAATACTCAAAAAAGTTTTGATTGGTTTCTATATAAAAAAGGATTTTGCAGAGGCAGCTTTGGAAAGGAAAGCAAGAGCAGGCTGCTTAAACCATCCCACCCCCACCCCCACCCCATCACTTTCTCCTTATGCAGGGTTTCAGATAGATATCTTCCTCTCTGGCAACAAGTTTGGAATCTCAGGTAGGGATTTTCAGGAGGAATTCTATTTTTTTCCTCAATAGATTCTGGTTTCTTCTACACGAGAAACCCTTGAAATGATTCCAGTTCACTCTAACTGATTGTGTATCTTCTTCTCTACCCCACCCCAGTTTATGACCTTCCATCCGGACCCACAGGTATGTTCAGCGATCCACTCAGCGGTGGGTCTGATGATTCAAGCTTCCTTCAGATAAATGCTGTAGACCGTTGCCCCAGCCAGCTTTCATCGGTTTATACTGAAGGCTGAGGAAGGACTAAGCAACAATCCTGCATCGAGTTCTGTTGAGAACCACCACATTGTAAATCATCTTTTCTGGGTCAGAACAGGGGAACTGCTGAAGAGATAAAGAAAGCATCACCAGAAACCACTCAGCTTCACAGATGCAGCTAATATAGGGGTTGGGAGAAGATGTTTCGGGGTTCCACTTCTTCCAGTCAACAGAGCTAGTGGCAAGGAAAGTAACTTTTCCAAGCTCTAGTGAAAATGTATTTGTCAAAGTGTGAACAATTGCTTCTTTAATTCAACCTTTTCTGTAGCAAAACCACCCCTGAAAGGGAACGAATAAGAAAACTGCTGGTTGACACATTTTAAAATGAATTGTTGGTATTTCCCAAAGAGTTTTGTAAAATACTTTCAAGGAACTCTCTGAAAATTAGCAACTCCTCTAAGCCTTTTGTAGAAACAGAGCTCCTTGCACAATGAGACTGTTTTATGGTGCCTTTGGAATGTAAGCACCGTTTTCCAGCAAAAGAGGATGAAACATTTCCAACAGATTTCACTGAGACCTTTTCCAGACACAGCATTTCTTTTGCCATTTCTTCCGGTCTTCTCAGAATTTTTCCCAGTGTTTCTTTCGTCTTGTATTTTGCCCCCCTGAGTTCCCACATCTTTTACTCCTCCCACCATTCTTGGTGTATTTTTTAATGTGGCTTTGTACTGCTGGGGGTGGGGGTGGAGTTTAGCACTTTGGCACTTCCCAGACATTATAGCAGGTAAGTGCAAATTCAGCCTTGAAGCCCCTGCTCCCTCTCTGGCTGCAAGCTGATGCTTCTTTGAAGAAGATGAGGAAACTTGTCCTGCTTTGGGCAGACATTTACCACAATTGCATCTCAGGTGCAGAATTACCCCAAACACCGGCACACAAACATATATCCTTCTTTCAGCTGTCATAATGGAGCAAGCACACCAACATGCCAGATACCCCCTTGTATTTTTCTCTTGTGATAAGGAAGAAAGGTCCTTATCACCACCTCCTGAGTAAAGCAAACCATTTATTTATTTACAGGTTTACAATAATTGCTCCTTGTAATAGTTATAATTTATTTTAACATTTTTTTTGTTACAATCTTCAGCACAGAGGATGAGATGGGGTGTTGTAAAGCACTGAAACAGCTTAGCATGAGACTAACCTCAGGCTACATGTCCTGGAAGAGGCAAAAGAAAATGGCACAAATGCTGTGTCTGGAAGACCAGACAATTGAAGCTTGGCACTCATGCGTGAAATACAAAAGCATCTTCTCTACCGCTGCCAGAAAAACGAAGGCTGTCACTGCTTGCTCAGTCCCACATGCAAGGCTTGTGGCCAGACACACCACGATGCAATTCTAATGAGTTTGTTTGTCATGGTCCTCAGTTTTAGTCTTTGGAAACTTCTCCACAATCCTCCACTAATTATGCTTGGTAGTTTTAAAGTTGTTGGTAATTGGATCCATGAAAGAACGTTTAGGGATAGACACAATCAAATTGCTTCCGGCTGAATTTTACGTAAATTCTTGCAAGGTTTTGTTTGATTCATTAGCACCAATGGTTACAACAGTTGTGTTCCAAGAAGTGAGAACTGCTATCCCGTCCATCATGCCTACAAACATAAAGTGATTTTTTTTGTTGTTGCTAATAGTTTGTGTTTTATATGAGAAACTTTTATCATGGAACAAAATAGGCAAATGTGGAAATTTAAGAGTGGCTGGACTTAGGTTAACATGTCTCCAGTATTATACCTTTCAAATTAACATATTTTGGTTAAGGTCTAGTTCATTTCAGGAGCCCTTAATTGACACTGAAATAAAACTGAACTGTATTTAGAGATCCCTAATTTTATCAAGTATATGGATCAAGGCAGGGTGACTTTTCCAGAGTCTTCTTGATGTACAAATACTTTCTGAAGCTTTGACTCTTTAGTGCCTTCTGTAATGACCATGCAAGGAGTGTATCCAAAGACAATATTTGTTTTACATATACAAAAGGGCATGCTGTGGTTAAAAAAACACAATCCTAGCCATAAGCATACAATTATCTAGAGCAATTGAAAATAAGATGTGCCTTAAAAGCCTCCATAGCTTTCCCTAGCCTTGTGGAGTTGTTGTATTTATACAGCACATTTCTAGTGTGCCTACTTGAGGTAAGCTGCACTCTGTGTGTCGGCTACCAGATACTGTATGTCCCATGCTCTTTCCTAGAAGGATTCAGAGCAGCTTACAAACAATGGTCCCCATCAAATAGTTCCAATCATCCTACCCCGCTTTGTGTTCTTCTGCCCTTGGCCTGCCTAGCTTCAATAGCAAAAACTTTGTCTCCAACTCTGAAGTAAAATGTTCAAGAATCTGTTGCAATTTTTTTTTGCAAACATTTGCTCTTACCTGCACTCCAGCATGAAGACATTTCAGAATTTATTTCATCCTACTCCAACTGGTTTTCTAAACGGAGCATTGTACACTACTGGATCATTTAGATATGGCATTGTTGCTTTGTTACAAATGTGGTGCTTTTCTGATTGCTGTTTAAAGGGATTCACTGTAAAATATTTTTGTATCAAGAAATAGCTGGTCAGCAGCCTTATATTGGTATTTAAGAGTCTGTGTCCTTTGTTCATCTCCAGCAAGTGCATCTCCAGGAGCATGCCATAATGTTGCACAATCAACCAAGTCCCTTTGCACTCTTGTAGCACCTCTCCTACAGGCCACTTTGGATGTATATCCTCACATGTTTCAGAGAATCCTGTGTTTTACACAGCCATTAGAGAAGAGCTGTGTAACTGCAGAAGAAATTTACTAGCACTTTGTGTTGATATAGCTCCTTTTTTGCCATCCTCCTGGAAGCTTTTGCCTGAGAATAAAAGCTCTTTGGAGACTTGGGAATAAGCACAGTCCCAAACTGGCTGGAGGTCTGGGCTCATGGTCTGTGTGTTTCATAAGTCACTTATGGGCAAATCATCTCTTGCTGCGCTGAGCAAAAGTTTCATCCTTGGACAAAGTGTACACTAGAGTTCACATATACTTTCAAAAAGAAATTAATGTCCAAATTCAGCTATTATAGTTTACGAAGGTCACTTGCAGAGATGTTGCGATGTCAGTACTGTCATGTGGTACCATTATTATAGGACTTTTTAAAAGTAATAATTGTTCAACTGTTTTTATTGTCCATGTTTGATTGTGCCATTTTATAGCAGCACATTTTTTTTAATTTGCAAAACAGCACTTTTTATGTGTAATTTTTTTAAAGAACAGATAAATCAAAGAAATGAGTTTTAAAGTTAACAAGAGTGTGGTGTTCATTTTGTACATAAAGCAGAGCATCTTTTGTATTGTTGCTCATGGAAAGCACTTTGGGGAGAGACGTATGTTTGTGTGAATGTGTGTGTAAATGTGTGTTCTATAAATCTTACATTTACTTGTACATATTTATACATGTTCCTTTATATAAATTTCTTTACACCTTATTGTATATCTGGCTGGCTGATTTTTATGTAGTTGGCAAGTATGTCAGTTACATATTTTATGCCCTTAAAAGAAACTTAGAGTGCCTTTTTATATTAATATGTATAGTTTTGTGATTGGTTACAGTTACATTTCATATAATCATAAATTATTTTTGTTTCATTTCATGAAGTTTTTTTTTAACATGAAAGACAAAATGGAAGGGTTTGTGCACATGATAACGAAAATAAAGTAAAACTGGAAATCTGTAATATATCAGTGTGACTTTAAAATCTTATTTCACAATCTAGTCTGAAAATAAAATTTCCCTTACCCCAGTGTTTTATCAGAAGGACCTATCATAGCTGAACTTATTAATATAATTGAAAGCACACTAGGAGTCAGAGAAGGAAATCTGAAGTTTATTTGCAAGTGTCCTTCCTTTGGGTTAAAATTTAGGACTGTGCTTAATTAATAGATATGAGACTCAAAGGAGGCAGTGAGAGGACTGGAGGGGAAGAAATGGATGCCTCCTTACATGATCTATGTTTTGGGAACATAGGAACATAAATGGCATATTTAATTATGTTCTGTAGCTTTCATTGGTGTGGACCTTCCTTACCCTCTCTAAGCACTGAAGACTTTTCCATGTCTTCTTTGTTTTGTTTGCTACCTTGGTGGCCCATGATCTCACCAGGGGGAATAGTACTTCCTTCTGCCACTGTGAGGTGTGTCCTCTCCTCCCCCAAGGTCAACTACAGGCTGCTACTAGCTTTACAGTATTTTTATCGCCCTTCTCAGACAGTTATTTTCTTTCAAAGTACCTCACTTTTTTCATTAGTGAAAAAGAAATGCATTTCTTGCAGGGAGCGATAAAAGATCAAGACAAGCAAGAGGAGGTGAGAGGAGGGAAAGATAGACGAGAGAGCTCACATCTTCAAGGACAGAACAAAGTGGCAAGTTGTTCACAGACATTGCTGGCAGGTTGGGGACTGACAGACTCATCTTTCCCAGTTGGTGTTGTTCTTGCCTTGGATAGCTGTTGGTGGCTCTGTTCCTGTGGGCCATGAATGGGTCCAATCCACCAGAGTGTTCTTCCATGGGGTGAGGGACAGCTGGAGGAGCTTTTCTCTCTAGTGAGGAGGGATGAGAAGCAAATTCCCTGCAGCTCCTCCTTCTGTGGCTCAAGGGTTGAGCATATTTGCCCTCCTCTGATTGTGGTGTTCTTCCATGAGTTTCTCATGACTTGTCCTGGTTTTGTTATTGCCGTTGTTTTTAACTTCATACAATTACAGCACTAATTTTAAATTGGGATCTTAGGCATTTGAAATGTGCCTCTGATATTTAAAAAAGGAGGGGGAGAGATATTGGGGTGGGCATCTTCAGGGTAGGTTCGGTTCCCCTTGCTGACCTGATACTGTCGCCCTCCGCATGCAACTGGAATTCATCTGGAAATCATGCTGCCAAATTCCAGCAATAAACTGGGAAAGCCATTAAAACAAGCAGGAAGTGCTTTTTTCAGGTTCCTTTCCCAGTTTGTTGCTGAGATCCAGCAGCAAAACACAATACTTTTTAAAAAATTCTAAAGGATCTTGAGTAATTTTCTACCAAATTTCCAAAACACCATTTTTGTGAGGGATCAGGGGCTGCAAAAGCAGACCTGTGGGCCACATATTTCTACTCTGGATATAAAGAAGGCATCCTCTGGCTTTTTCCCTACCAAATGAAAAGAGTGCCCTAGTATGACTCTCTTGCTCAGTGATTGGTCTTTGTCTTGAAGACAACCATCTCGTCTAAGCTCATGTTCTTAACAAAAGCTAACATGCAAGAAAGTTATTTGTGTAAGAAAAACACTAAGGCTGCACCCATGTACATATTCAGAAGCAAGCCACCCAGATTCAGCACGGATTAATCCCAGGCGAGTATGTATAGAATTGCAGCCAAGATCAGGAAACTATTTTGCTGTAACCAGGTATGTAACCAAGCAAAGTGAATAGCTGGTCTCTGTAGAAAATAATCTAAGCCCAGACTGAAGAAACAGGAACCCATGTGCATAAACTGAACCTGGATTGTGTCACTTTGGATTGGCCATTGACTACAGCATGACTGAATTGTCTGCTTTGTTTAGAGAACAACAAAACCTTAACTGGTTTTGTTAAGGTTTGCTGTCCTCTGAAGATGCCAGCCACAGAGACTGGCGAAAGGTTAGGAAGAACCACTTTCAGAACACGGCCAAGAAGCCCGAAAAACCCACAACAACCAAAACCTTAACTGTTCATAAAAAGTAAACGTAAGAAAAGAACTGTTCTTTGTAGTCTCGATATCTGACATATGTGACATTTCAAATGGGAATCTTAATACATTCAGGCAGGATGGTTATACACAACCATCCTGATTCCCACAATGGTGGTAATCCCCAAACTTGCACGGCTCATTTGGCAATCAGATTGCTTGAACAGACTGGAAACAGAGGAAAATGCCAGTTCATACACATACAGTCTCTATTCCAACTGTGATCATGTGTTCTTGAGGCAGTCACAGGAGAGGAACTCCTGGATGAACTAAATCTCAGAATGTTTATTGTCTGCCATGGGCAGGGTAGACATGGCTTCTTAATGGAAGGAGTAAAATGGAAGAGTGCTGTCCTCTGAAGATGCCAGCCACAGAGACTGGCGAAACGTTATGAAGAACAACCTTCAGAACACGGCCAAAGAGCCCGAAAAACCCACAACAACCAGTAAAATGGAACTTGTACTTTATTAGCCAGCTAGGTTAGTTAGTTAGTTCATACATTTGTGGCCCAATAACAGGCATTCTTGGGCAACAAAAACACATTCAAAACACATGAAAATCATGTTTCCAATAAAACACAACTACACTAAAACCTTATAAAGCAAGAAATCAGATAAAAGCAAAGATTTAAAATAATACCTGTTAATATAGTATAGAAAGCTGTAAAAGTGACTTCATAGCACTTTTCTTAAAAGGTTTCAACCATAATACAATAACTAAATCCTGTCTTGGATAAGGTCCCTGTGAAATTTCCCATTAATTTCTACCATGGGAGAGACATTTGTTTTTTCACGTCTTATTCTGATATGTTTAGATCTTATGTCCAGCACTTTCTCCCTCCCAGAGTCTAAATTTATCTCCTCCTGATAGTGTCCATCCAGTTCAAATTTTCTTATTTTAAATCCAGATATGAAAATCATTCTATTACATCATCCCATGCAATTTATAGATGTACAGCCAAAGTAAATTTACCAGGCTGTCAGTGTCATTAATGATTCACAAAGGAGATGGGCTAGTTTAATGAATTGTAACAAAGAACTCCTTTCAGTGTTCCTTGATGAAAGTCCAAGCATACCTCTGAAGTAAGTAGCGAGCATCAGCCTCATGCATGGTTGCAAGGGGAGGGCAGGCTGACTTCATTACAAGCAACTCAATGAAACCCCTTAATTTCTTTTATCCTTTCTAAGAATTTAAACACTAGCCCAAGAAACCCATTCTGATGGGCTAGTTGGTAATTCACAGAAAATGTTTTTACTCATGGTGTAACTTAAGAGCTTGTGCCTAGCCCTCATTTCTCATATTGTTTATTTGCTTATTTGCTTCTCTCTGAAAAGGGAGAATATCACATCCTAGGATGATTTCCTTTGACATTCAGGTACTATTACAGCTGACTCGCTTACTGTTGAGTTCTGCTGTGCCAACAGGGTGCTGCAGCAAATATCAGCCCAATATCTACTTTAGGGAAGGAAAAGAAAGAGAATGAAGAGCAACAGGAATGAAAAATGAAGAGCACTAAAGAAGTGCTGAATAGCTCAGTGGTTTAGGTTTCTGGTTGTGGAGCCAAAGGCTGGGAGTTTGATTCCCCACTGGGCCTCCTTGAAAGGGGCTGGACCTGATGATTCCTAAGGTCCCTTCCAGATCTGCAGTTCTAAGACTTGTACTGTATTATTATATTGTCATTAATTAATTTCCTCTGTCTACAGCTCCCTTCAAGCTCTGCAGTTCTGATGATTATTGTAAATCAGCTCTTTGAACCAATAATCTGGATGCTCTGAAATGAATGAATTTAAGGCTCCCCTGGTCACAGAACGTCCTCATGCACTTCTATGAAAGGTCCACCCCATCTCCTGCCCTTTGCCAGTGCTGGATGAGCGCGGCTCCTTAGGTGGGCAGAGAAAGAGCCTGCTTTTTTTCAGGACCTTCACAGCTATGCATCAGAGGACAACTAGTCCCTCCTAGACAGGGCTGTGTAAACCCATGGCCAGGCCCCTAGGCTTTCAGGTCTTTCGGGGGCCCTCCAACACTTCAGTCTTTCACCTCAGCAATCTTTTGCCTCAGCAAAATAAATAAATAAAATTGAGAGACTGCCAGAGCCCCTTGGCTTCAGCTTAGTCGGCCTCACTTCTAGCCCAACTAGGTTTCCTTAGTGGCACACTCCTGTTTCCAAAGCGACCCTCATCACAGTCACCGCAAATTAAATGGACACTTAGAAGAGCTCCGGTGCTGGTTCAGATGCATTCAATTAAAAAAAGTAACGAAAGCCACATGAATCATACAGTTCAGCAGCCTCTGACAAAAGAGTGGATAAATGGCAAAATCAAGCCCATACTCTCTCTGTGGCAAAGCTCCTAGATGTGGCCCAAGCAGGTGGACACCTCGTTTAAAAAATGTTCAGGTGAAGAGACTCCCCCCCCCTCACTCAGATCCTGAGGCACCATCACCTGTGGGAGGAAAGGGGGGTCCTGCACTTTTAAAATTCTGCTGATGGATTTCTGTGTATTGAGTTGCTTTTAGGAAAGTAGTCCGGGCAAGATATGTTCTCTGAACACAATAGAACAATTACACAAGAAAGACATACATGTTGGACAGTTGTATCAATCTTACTCTGGATTCATTGTCATGGCTTCCTTCAAACTATCCTAAGTTTGATTTCTATCTGTCTGTCCATCTGTCTGTCCATCCATAGGTGGTGTACATCATTAAAAGACAATTGTTGTTTATTCATTAAGTCATGTCCAAGTTTCTGTGACCCCATGGACCAGAGCACGTCAGGCCCTCCTGTCTTCCACTGCCTCCCGGAGTTGGGTCAAATTTATGTTGGTAGCTTCAGTGACATTGTCCAATCATCTCCTCCTCTGTCATCCCCATCTCCTCTTGCCTTCATACTTTCCCAACATCAGGGTCTTTTCCAGGGAGTCTTCTCTTCTCATGAGATGG